GTTTACGCACATTGAATACGCGAATACTTTCAAAAGATAAATCGCTTTCTGAAATCCCATGCATTTATTGCAGATGAATGTCTTATCTTCGATACGATTTATATGTGTTATTTCCATTATAATATGTGTAAAAAAAGGTTTATAATTTGTTACGCCAGACGCGCGTTTCGTCTAATCAAAACGAAGTTGAAGAGCATTCATAAACGAAAAGTTGTGCTTTAAACAGCTAAAGCAATTTATGCCTGGGTAGAACAACCTTATTATTTTGAGTAATATAACATTTTCTAACAGTAAATTTACAGAAAAAAGACCATATCAATGATATTCATGAACACAAGAGTGTGGACTACTGGGCTAGTGATACCCTCGGAGACGAAAACACCAGCAGTGGCACCAGTAGTTGTAAAAGCCCATCAAAGATATCAGGCTTGTATGTATATATGATTGATATATATATATGTTTGATATTAATTTCCGTGCTTTCGACGCATGTGTCTGGAATAACAATGGTCAACACTAAAATTTTAGAAAGTAAAACATCTAAAACTTTGAAGAGAATCAAAATCAAAATCAACACTGCCTAAATAGAACAACTAAATACCGTCTAAAATCGACTTGTTCTGAGGGAGTTACAATGTTGGTTTAAGTTTTAAAAAAATACTAAAACTAAGATTGCAACTCCCTCGGGTGAATTTTTACTAAAAATACATTATAAATAAACACAGAAAAGAGATTCATTTATATTTTACCAGTATTGAAGCACATACTACTAGGCGGATGCTACCATCGATGATTGTAAGTCCATCAGCAGGGGGGCCATACTAAAGTGTTAGCAAGATAAAATTTGATACCAATGTATGTGCATACGATAAGTGATCCTGGAAGAACCTTTAATGAGTACGTTTGAGAACAAAATTATACAAAACTCCTCCATTGTGCTCTGTAGAATTAAAATAACTTACTTGTATAATTGGACATATTAAGGGGAGAAAACGGTTTAAAATGCAATATTTCGATAACCTTTTCATAACTGTCGTCTTCCAAATGTCACTATCGTCTGTTCTTAACCATTAAAACACTTCAAGAAACACCATTAAATGCTGCTACTACTAGTATACCAATATCATGGTATCATGCAGTGCGCACTTTCAGTACATTGATATACATGTATCTGATATTTCAGAACTGTCACCTGCATAACTCGCATCTGTGAAATTTATTCATATGTATATAAACCCATCATCGATACCAGGCTTATAAGTTTGTACGCCAAAAGCGCGTTTCGTCTACAAAAGACTCATCAATGACGCCTGAACAAAAGAGTTAAAGGCCAAATAATGTAAGAAGCTGAAGAGCATTGTGAACCAAACGCAGCTAAAGTAATCTATTCCTGGGGAAGCAAAACCTTAGTTTTTTTTCGAAAAATTCAAAGTTTTGTAAGCAGTTTATTCATATCAATGATCTGGTGATACCCTCGGGTAGTGGCATCGACCCAGTGGTTGTAAATAAACTCATCATAGATACCAGAATTAAAATTGTGGAAGTAGAAGTGCGGACTACTGGGCTGGTTATTCCCTCAAACTGACCAAAAGTGATGTACCATATGCACATTTTAACAAACAGTGTCTCGAATGTAATGATTTACGTCAAAAAATACTTTGAATTCCGGATAATGAAACAAAGATTTCATGATCATAATTCGATAATTCATGATGGGTAGATTTATAATCGTGTCAGTACCAAAGCACTTGCTAATGACCGGGTGGTTCTATTGGGTTGTTCTGACAATGATAATCTGAAAACCATGGAAGTAATTATAGACCATTCACCGCACATGTCCATGTGTACTTACTCGGTCGTTTAACACATACAGTTTTGATTAATATAGATCTGAGTTATGCCGCTTTGTCCGACGAATATCACTTTAAACAACTAAAAGCAAAATAACAAAAACACCGAACTCCATGGAAAATTCAAATCGGAAAGTTCCTTATCAAATGGCAAAATCAAAAGCTCAAACACGTCAAATGAATGGAAAACAATTGTCATATTCCTGACTTGTTACAGGCATTTCCTTATGTAGAAATTGGTGAATTAAACCTGGTTTTATAGCTAGCTAAATCTCTCACTTGTATGACAGTCGCATAAAATTCTATTACATTGACAACAATGTGTGAACAAAACAAGCAGACATAGTAGGTAAACATGTCAAAAATAGGGGTACAGCAGTCAACATTGTGTTATAATCTTAATCACTATAAAAACAAACAAATATGTCAACAAAGAAAAAAAAATGGCATATAGACAAAGCACATAAGCAAAAATGAAAGACGAGAATACAAAAAATGACCACAGCACAACTGCACAATTGCGGAATGCATAAGTACTGAGCCCAGCTCAAAAGGATATTACCAAAAATGGATTAAACAGTAACGGTTAATAATTTACAAATACAAATAAAAGAACACTATAACACGTAATTAAGATGATAAACAACGTCAGTACCTAGAATCTATACTTTAAGACCATCAAGAATTATTTGTGAAGTTGATACGGAATATTAATCAACAAGGTCTTGGTATCTTCCGATGAACTTTTTTAAGAAAAAGGACGAGACGTTCTTTGACATAACCCTGGTTCATCAACTTTCTGCTCAGACACTGGTGACGTTTTATAAAGTCTGAGTAGCAGCTGCAAGCTCTTGAATACCGAATGAGTTGGGAAATGTTATAGTATATCCCATATAATGATGGTGATTAGTCTAATTTCGGTTAGCGAAAAATCGAAAATCCCACCATTTATAAATTTCCGTCGTCTCAACCCGCCTCAACAGATATTTACACAACTTTTAAGACTGTAAGAATATGACACAACATTTATCTTGAACGGTGCGTCTCTTTGCGAGCTGCATAGGAAAACTCTCAAATTTTAAACAAAACACACTCAAATAGGTCAAAAGTTATATACAATTTTCCTTTGGAATGCCTAAAACTTGGTGAAATGAAAAATAAATTAGTGAAATGAGAATTAACGGTGAAAGGGGGATAACTAAAATATACCTCGCAACTTGACTGACACATTTATAATTGTTTACAATTAGATATAGTATTGCAATTTAATATTAAGAAACAAATTAAATGAAAGAGGTTACTAAACATGTTTTTTCATGGTTGAGTTGCTGTACACTTCATCTTTTTAATGCATAAAATATCTCCATGGTATAATACGATGGTCGTCCAAATCATGATACTACTTCATATAAAGATAAACTCATATATTTATATGCATACTGTAGTTTGATTGTATTGCGTGTGCTTATAGCCTCTCTTTAAATAAACCGTCGAGACATTATTGCGACATGTTTTTCTTCTCAAATAAAAAAATAGTTTCGTCACTTAACACAATAACTCAAATGCCAGTTTGCGTAATGTCTTATTTTGCGTCGTTGAGGTCAATGAAAGAAAATGTGTATGAAACAATCCATGATTGAATTTGAGTAAAGGGTGATGCGGTTTAGCGATGCGGTTTAGCTATGCTAAATAACTGTTTAATTCCTTTGAAGATTGTACATTCATTATTATCTGTATTTAAACCGTAGAGGTACATGTATATTTTGGGTTTTTTTTTGGGTTCAAATGTTATATGCTTTGTTTTGTTTTCTTTCATACCCTTGAAAATGTTGTATGGTCCTTGTTGTTTTTATTAGAACCCTAATCAATTGTTTAGATAAATAATCTATTATGGTCCATTTTACTTTTGACGTATTTTCTAAGTTTATAGTAAAAGTAAACTACTTTTGTGCAGAAGTTGTTACATATACATATGTGTACAAAAGGCCAAATCCATGTTCTGCAATGTTAGCCTCTCCCTTTATAAATCAAACAAAACACAATAAGAAGAACATTCTCATCATTTCAATGCAGATTCTCTTTTACCTGTTTAAGGATGTTCGCTACTCTGCTTCAAAATAACAAGTTCTTTAAAAGACTGTTATAAATTGAAAGTATTTGAATAAAGGAACTGAAAAAATTGAAAAAATTGAAGGGTCCGTGTGCTTGTTTTCGAGATTTAAGCCATTGAAAATTTGGCGGGAAGTTATTTTCTCTAGATTTTTCATACATTTAACATTGGCACCTTTTTTCTTTCTAAAACTATGAAAATATTTCAAGGATTTTATAAGATTTTAAAACTATATGTAACAAAATTATGAAAAGAAAAGTAGGGGTTAACGGGCAAAATATTTATTGGCATTACATGGATAAAACTAGAGGACTCCGAATATCTGACAAAAACTCAATAACAAGAGGAGCGAACATCCTGAACATTTCTCCTATTTGGAGTAGTTGGAAATTTGACCCAATATTACTGCTGAAGGAAACCTCGAAACAAAATCTTTCGTCAAAATGAGAGGTTCTTTACACCATGGAGGGAGATACATGAGTAGAAAAAAATGAAACAATCAGTATTTGTGATCATCTAATACACAATGCTAATACAACTGACAAAAAATAACTCATTAAGTTTAACTATGTTGATCATAAGCAATAAATTTTTTTTTAACTTGTTTATGAGTAACTGGACTTTACAAAAATAACTTGTTTTAAATCTAAATGTACCAAGGAGCCTGTAAGCGCTCCCCTATCATTTTTATTTAAAATTGATACAATGCAAAGAGAATATTTCTGATAAAAAAAAGCAAAAATACGAGTAACAATTGTCATTCAAGGGTAATGATTCCAAAAAAGAATAGTGTGAAGATTTCGGTCATGTTGACGTATTATTAGATGTTGTGCTACTGGTCATTTTCGCTGTCTACTGTTTCTCTCTATATCTACTATAGTTTACCCCAAAACGTAAAACAGTATAATGTCGCCAAATTCTCGCTGTCTCCATGTGCCTCTCAGTCGGTCGTGTTTTCTATTCGGTTTTAAGTATTTTAGTTTGTCCTTGGAAAGATTTATCTCATTAGGTATTTATCTATTATGAATTAACGCAACCAATTGTGTCAGTTTTAACGATTTTTTATTAGGCAGCTCAATTTCACATACAATTTCCCGCCAATTATACACAAGAGTAATGAGATCATAAGCAGTTAATACTGTAAAGGCGTAAAATGGATGATAATAACATATTTATATTATTTTAATGTGATACACTGTGCATGAAGAATTTGCCACTGAACGGAAATCAAAACTGTTCTTAATATCACATATAATATGACATAATTTGGTTCCAAAAAATGAATTATGCGGCAGTTTCGAAATTGCATAGTTTTGAACATACATATGACATTATACGTGTAAGAAGCAGAAATTATCACTATCTGCTATTTATCAATGGATTCTTTTAAAGGTTTCGTCTAGTTTTTTTACTCAGCGAAAAAGTCAAGAAAATAATATGTAAATTAATGCAATGAACATTCATGAAGGAAACTATAGTGTAATGATCTGTAATCTGTTTGAATATGATTTTCTTCTTCCGAAAAATTATCGAAAGTCACTGATTTCAAATGAATATATTGCATACATTATAAAGTTCAAACAATACATATATACACATTAAGAAAACAAAAATATGCGCTTTTAGGAAAAACATAGTTACACACATTTATACACATACAGTGTATACACTATTTGAATAAATACTATTTACATTGAGATATAGTTCGTTTGACTAGAGTATTTGTCTGAGCACTACTACTGTTATACAGATTGCTCTCACTGTTTCAGAGAAGGTTTTGTTGAACCCAATCAGCTACTGTATTATGGTAATCGTCATTCAGAAACCTACATAGACTTGCAAACTGTTATTGGGTTTCCTCCTAACATTTCCGTGCAAACAGAAGTCAGAAACATGTATATTTCTCCTGTATATAAAGGCTATTGTCTACATATTCCGGGGAATCATGGCCCAAGAACCGTCGTACCTCCAATAAACATACTAAACCAACATTATCATCACCTAACCCATCAAAATCATTAAGTATTTAAAAATAGTAAAAATAAATTAAAAGAACACATATGCTTGTTTCTCGTATACAAAATCTGTAAGTCATACACGTTGAGTGAAAATGTAAAGGAATGTTTAAATAAATCCCTTCAATGCGTATTTAACTTTGGTCTATGTTTTTTTTTCATTTCTACCTTTGTCTCTGAAATGCTTCTTGCTTCTGTTCTAATATCCTTTCAATTCGGAATGAAAACTTTCATCACAAAAGTGCTGTTATAATCACTAGTACCGTTAGACTAAATGTCAAGTATCCTGAAATTGAATTTGCTCTGTTAGAATCTGAAAAGAAAAATGAAAAGATTACTCTAACGTATCTTATCGATTTGGTCTCTTTTGTTTAGGTCCTTTTTGGTATGTTCTATTTATGTCCTTTTGGAACAACGTTTTTATTTAATGGTATTTCAAAAACTGTGATCCCTAGCTTACCTATTGAAGGCTATTCCACGAACACGCTTTGTATGCAAGGTGTTTTATAACTACTGGGTCGGTATTTCTATTGGCTGACCATCAGTCCCTATGTGCCATACTCCCATTAGCCAGTACTTCGATATGTTCTTGATTCAAGTGATACATATGTTGTCTTTGAATTTCCAGCCCATACAATATTTAATAGTACTAAAGGTTATCCCTCTGGCTTTGGCTATTCTGTTTCTTCCCTTTATGTTGTAAAGTCTCCAATAGTTTAAATGTTTAGCTATCCAAACTTTTTTCTCGCTTGAACCTTGTGAATGTCATTCCAGAAATACGTTCTGACGGAAAAAATATAGCAAACGGTTTCTTTCGTATTTTCATTGTTGCCCTATTACATTGATACAACTAGTGTATGGAAGTTTTATTGTTGATACACTTTAATTTGCATTTTGTCCCTATCGTTGATCTGCTGTTTCGTGTATCTGTGGCGTTATCTTATATTCATTGGAACGAAGTGTAAAAACGTAATATTCTTGTCATTAGTAAATGGGGTTCTATACATAATGTATAACATAGCCGTTATGCAAAACTTACCCGGTGGTTTTGTCTGCGGCATTCTATATTCAGGTTGGGGTACTATTTTTTCTACAATAGAAAACAGTGTCGTTCAATAGACATATACAACACGAGGTGGTAACGAAAAAGCTGAGTGTATTACGAAAGCTATGAGATGAAAGGCAATGAAAGGCAATGCCAAACTGGTAGAAATTGAGAAAAATATGAGCGAAAATAAATAAAATCATAATGGTCCAGGTAAGTTTTAAAATGTGCATTTCAATTATAATTTGTCTTTTTAGTGTGTCGAGGTCATCAGACAGCAACCAAACATGTCAGGACCATATAAACTTCACCAACACTTTACTTGAAATTATACAGTGATTGAATGATTGTATGCTTCTAAAAAAAGAAAAGCATCCTGTAATTATACTGAAGAGATGTGTAGATGATCATTTCTGTACACTAAAAGAATACTTCGTGTATTGTATCAGATATCCTTGTTTAATTCCTACGAGAAGGTAACACCTCCCGAAACGAAAGCTGATTTTTATCAGCTATAGTTAGAGGAGGGGATAAAGTGTCTGCGCAATGCTAGGCGGTGTTGTCATAGAAGTTAAAAATATAAAGTACAGGTTGCAGCCCCGCTCGGGGAGGAAGTAAAGAAACAGATCTACTCTAACATCGTTAGGTTGATTGTCTAGGCACTTTATATATATATATATATATATATATTATATATAAACAAGTCTAAATTGAAAACAACGTTCAAACCTATGATTGCGTTGGATACAAACCGCAATTTTTATACGTGTGCATGCAAAACAAATTTCTTTGTAGAGGGGTCTAAATACAGCACAAACAACATTTTCCAAAAGACCAAAAAAGTGAAAAGTATATTTTAACAAAACGCATTTGACTAGCAGGTCGAACAACGGAATATATATATATAGGTTGATTTTCTAGGCACTTTATAAATATTCTAAAGCCTGGCATTTCTTAATCATAAGAAATCCGATGGACAAGGTATAATTTACAGTTGTCACTACACATAGGCAGACATATATATATATATATATATATATATATATATAAAGTGCCTAGAAAATATATATATATTCTCTTCAATCCGATGTATTACACATATTGAAAAAGGAGAGAGTCCGTTTCACCAATATAATACTTCCATGGTTTAACTGTGCGGGATGCATAGATACACAGTCACGTAACCATGGCAATATTTGTTCTCACTATAAATATTGATGAAATTGGCTATTGTGTGTTAAATCACTCGATTCGAAATTCATTTATTTATATATCATTTCTTGCTAGTGCAAAAATGTTTCATAAGACTAAGTAATTTTGAAAAAAAAACGTATGCCAGTGAATGAGTGTGGGTGTAACAATTAATCTCATTGCAGACAAATCCAAGTAATTCTATAGCTGGTGTTGATTAGTTGGGAAAAATTACAACAGCTTAAACCTCATATTTCCACTGGCGCGTACATGCAATATTCTTATTTCACTATTTTTTCTCATCTGTCTTTTCTTTGTGTTTCTCATTACATAATAAATGTTTTACTTAATACAACGGGTTTACAAAAACAATATGTTACTACAATTATTTGTAATATCTAAAAAATTCTATTAGTAAATCTCATCTTAGGACGACTCTGTTTTATTGTAGTCACAATTTACGACATTTTGATAGTCTTAAAGAACATGTGCACATTGTTTTAATTTTCTTCATAAGAATCGTTATGTAATCGTAATTAGAAATATGTCAAAAAAAACAGTTAAAAAATTCTTTGTGTTTAGGTTAAGTAATAACATTTCATATGAATTAATCTTTCTCTCAAGGTGAAAAAGCAAACAAAAAATCAGTAATAATGCGTATTTTCTCATATTTTTTACCCAACATTGCGCTTGGAAACTAGCATTTCTACACGTTTTGTTAAGACAAGATAGTACTATGAACACAAAACATACTTGGTAACTTTAGTAAAACATCATCATGATAATTATTTCTCTCTTCTTCATTTAACAGATCACTTTCTACTTTACATCTATATATAATTCCATCTGTTTCAGGATTGACTATGACGTCTATTTTTTGTATTGCTTTCTGGCTACAATCGTCTAGATCTAAAACCTCCTGTTCAGATTCCGTGTCTATCCTGACAAAGTCACTGGATCCTGGGATTTTGTAATACCATCTCAGATCTGCCACTGGAATTCCTGCCGTGGCTGTACATTCCAAGGTGTAGGTATCGTTTTCTTCTAAAATAACTTCATCTTCAATCACTCTTGGGGCCTCTGGTTTTGCTGAAATGAAGAAAAGCCTTGAGACTTAGTAGATGCTATCGATCAATTTTCTGTCTGTAAACACTGGTTATTTAGTTCTAAATGTTATAATTACGTCATTTAAGATGTGTTTTATGTTTCAACCGTTTCTCCATTTTTTGTTTCCAACCACAAATACGGCGAAAAAAAATAAAGTTATGTATAACCAAATGCAAGTTTTGGTGGACAGTGAATGGTAATGTCGATGTGTCGCCATTGAAAAAATATGGCCCCTTGAGTGTGTCCCAGTTTATGGTCAGTCAAATTTACACTAGCAAAAACCACAACAAACACAAATGACAGAACACTCGAATCTTACAAGCAAAGCTTCCTCATCCTTGTCGGTGCTTCAAGTGAGCCACAACCCTTTATTGTATAATAAGAATAAACATGCGGGTATAACTATAAAGGGAGAGTAAACCTACAAGATACTGTAACTGGAACAACATATTAAGTGTGTATTTCATTCCGTTTTTTTAATTAGACGGAAGTCCAAATGTTTATAACTGTATAAAATACGAATGTACATTTATTTGAAAAATAAAGACACATTTAACCATAATTCGATTCGTGGGCTACATGGCAGTAAAAAGAGACATGTATCAGAAAAAAACTTGTTGTATTCTACATAATTATTATACCAAATTGGACTTTTTTATAAGTATAGTTTAATACAAAAAAAAAGAGCATAGGATCGGTAGTTTGAAAATACTTTTTTGGTGAAATATTTTAAGTTAGTTCTTAAATTAGCTAGCAATGAAAGGAAGTGTAATTCATAAAAACAGCTTATCTTGTACAAAAATGCAAAAATTAACATGATTTTAACGTGATTTGAAGTGACTTTTCTTTCGTTTTTGGTGTAAGTGGCTTAATGACTTTACATGAATTGATGTGACTTCTTTCTTTATTGGCGTAAGTGGCTTATACATCTGGAAGATAACCTATCATCGACAGACTTAAGGGCATACGATACAGTTTTGATCCCGTAATGAAATTTTGATGAACATTTGCATATAGGCTATTTTTTACCTGATTAAATCAAATATGCAATAAAAAATATACCATCATGTGCTACTTTTTGAGTAAATTGAAGTTGAAATTTCAGATATTTCCTCAAAATTCGGATTTGTGGACGTATTTTTCCTTTCGACAGAAATACATAACTTTTTTGTTTTAAAAGATAAACACAAGCTGTTTTTTGTTAAATTATTTGTAATTTCTGTTTTATATAAATGTTCTATAAATTTGTACATTTTATTTTTACAAATAACTCATATTTATCAAATGTTCATGAATGTAGAAAAAAAACGTCATTTTTTGCTGTATATTTATCAAATTTAAAATAATTGCACTATTGACTTTTTCATGAAAATTGGTACACATAATCTTCATACGTAATCAAACCAAATGTCATTTTAAAAAAGAAAGGTCCATGAACTCGTTTTCAAGTTAAATAAGTTTGAATGATAAAAATCAGCCGAAAACTGCATCTTTTCCCGATAAGTCACAGTTTGACGTCGCGAAAATAACAATTTACGTTAGCAACGTCATTACTTCCCCTGTAACTGTATCGTATGCCCTTAACGTCTTTCTTGTATTTGTAGATCTTGTGTTAAAGAAATTAATTGTTATTTAGTTTTCATGTCAATGTTATGATTAGCCTTATGTAAATTTTGTAGATATTTAATTCAAATATTTTGACAATTTATAGAAAACTACTTAACTGTCTTTTCATTTAAAATAATGCACCGAAAATATAGTAAATGTAGCTAGATTATAAAAATGTGTAGCCTAGATACTAAAAATACTTAATTCCTTCAATATTTGATCATTTTTCGTTACAGTATTTTGTTCTCAACCACAACTTCACCTTAAGACTTTTGTAACACGTGAGATTTAAAATATTTACGGTACACCAGAATATTTTTCATTCACATTTCATTATTACTATCATCACAACCAAATTACTTATTTACACAATTCCCTATAGGAACTTCTCGTGTATGCATCTCAATACAATAGCTAAATAAGTTAAGTATGTTACCTCAAGTTGTCTCTTGATTGTTAGTGTCGTTCGGTTGCTGTCCCATATCTCATTTATTCTTAATCAAAATAGAAACCGGTTGATTTGAGTTTCTCCTGCAGGGTTGCACTAAAGTGCAATTTCATAAAAACAGAGTGCTAATCGACTGAATGATTGACGCATGTTTGGTATATTTACATATTAACTCTAGAGGAGAAAACATAAGTCAACCGTTTCCTCAATTTACACCTCAAATATAGCGTTTGTTAGCTGCTAATGTTAAATTATTAGCTTAGAGTTTTGTAACCAGTTAATAATTATTTTGTTGCATTACTCATAGTGTTTGTTACCTGCTAATCTTGAATTACTTGCATTACCCTTAGTGTTTGTTACCTTCTTATCTTGAATTACTTGCATTACTCATAGTGTTTGTTACCTGCTAATCTTGAATTACTTGCATTACCCTTAGTGTTTGTTACCTTCTTATCTTGAATTACTTGCATTACTCATAGTGTTTGTTACCTGCTAATCTTGAATTACTTGCATTACCCTTAGTGTTTGTTACCTTCTTATCTTGAATTACTTGCATTACTCATAGTGTTTGTTACCTGCTAATCTTGAATTACTTGCATTACCCTTAGTGTTTGTTACCTTCTTATCTTGAATTACTTGCATTACTCATAGTGTTTGTTACCTGCTAATCTTGAATTACTTGTATTGAGCATATAGTGTTCGTTACCCGTTATTGTTAAATTAGTTGCATTACTCATAGTGTTCGTTACCTGTTATTGTTAAATTAGTTGCATTACTCATAGTGTTCGTTACCTGTTATTGTTAAATTAGTTGCATTACTCATAGTGTTTGTTACCTACTAATCTTGAATTACTTGTATTAAGCATATAGTGTTCGTTACCCGTTATTGTTCAATCACTTACATTACTCATAGTGTTTGTTACCTGCTAATCTTGAATTACTTGCATTACTCATAGTGTTCGTTACCTGTTATTGTTAAATTAGTTGCATTACTCAAAAGGTCTGATCCTACTACTTGACAAACGTACACCCCAGTGTCATTGCAAGAAAACTCATGAATGGAGAGAGTAAAATCTACAGAAGTAACATCAACATATACACTTGTTCTCACTCTTGTCCGAAAATTGTCATCTCTTATTCCTTCCCAAATCGGCATCGGTGTACTCGATTTTCCATCGTTCTTTAATGTTGTTATGGTTTCTGATTCCATATTCGGATACATGCGTTTCCATTGAATTACATACCATACGTCTGTGGACTGGTATCTACATTCTAAATTTACTTTTGAGTCTTTCATGCCAACAACTGAGGGCATGGTTATTACTGATTCTGTCAAGAAAAAAGAAAAATACTCAAATATATGTATTATGGGATTTCTTGTAGCAATCCGTCTCCTTTTTCACATGTTTTCTTGTACTAAAACAATGTTAAATAATTTTCTTCTTTCAGGAGTTAAAGTGGCAAGGATACCATAATACTTTAGACGTGTGATCTATAATACAGGATATGAATTTTTAATACAGCTATACCTTATCTGTAAATCTTACTGCATATCATACTGACTCATATTAAGTCAAACTAGCTACCACATTCAATTAAAATTGAAAGAACTTTCCATTTCCCTTGTACGAGTCCATTGATTAAACAGAAATTCTTGTAGTACCTGTTTGTGAAATTCAAGACCACATAAATTGTTTGCATCCATTTTTTCATTTTAAAGGGAAAAAGTCGTAATGAAAGGGAAAATTATATGTTGGCCATTTTATTGCTATAATTACGTTTTTGTAATAAGGTCTTTTATTCAATTATTTGTATTGTATGTATTCATTTGTGTCCCTATGAACTTTGCGTCTAAGTTCACAAGATAAAAAAATCATTTACATTTACTTTTTGTGCAAAGAGGAAAATCGAAATTTGAATTCGGACATTGGGTTGCATTATGGGTAGAATTAAAAAGATTTGTCTTTTAAATTTTAGTTGGTTTTACTTAGGGTAGTCTCTTGTGCAATTATTCTTTTTCTATCTGAGACTTTCAGTAGTCAGACTGTTCGTTAAATTATCAACTACTATAGTACCGTGTGCATAGAACGCATCGATTCAGTGCTGACAAGTTTCTATTTGGTATGTTAGACCGGAACTATAAACAACTGTCATACAAGTGGGAGGTTTAACTGACTATAAACAACTGCCATACAAGTGGGAGGTTTAACTGACAATAAACAACTGCCATACAAGTGAGAGGTTTAACTGACTATAAACAACTGCCACACAAGTGGGAGGTTTAACTGACTATAAACAACTGCCATACAAGTGGGAGGTTTAACCGACTATAAAACTAGGCTTCTTGGGAAATGTCTGTACCAAGTCAGGAATATATAAGTTGTTTTTCATTCGTTCCGTTTGTTTATCTTGTCCAACGTTTGATTTCATCAGGTTTTATGGACTTTCCTCTTTTTGAATTTACCTTGTAGTCCCTGTTTTAATACTTTATTTAGAACTTTGAAATACCGGTAACTGATGTATCACAGTTCTTACGTTACAGGTTTTGTGATTTGCGAATCTTTATTATACAAGTTATTTTGTGTTAATTACTTTATGGATAATCAGTTAAAAACTCCATCAAAACTTCGCACAATGTCTTTATGAAGCTCTTAAATATCTTGCTGTCTCATTGACGTTAGACCACATCTATTTTTTTTCAATTTCACATGTGGAGCAGTATCTGCTTACCCTTCCGGAGCACCTGAGATCACCCCTGGTTTTGATGGGGGTCGTGTTGCTCGCTCTTTATTTTTCTTAGTTGTGTTTTGTGTACTGTTGTTTGTCTTTTGGTCTTTTTCTTTTCTCTTTTTTTATCTTTTTTAGCCATGGCGTTGTCAGTTTATTTTCGACTTACGAGTTTGAATGTCCCTTTGTTATTTTTTGCCTCTCTTTTAAATACATAAACTTATGTTATCGATTCCAGCGCACACTACTCGAGCTTAAAGAACACACCTCATCCGAAATGTACATACATGGCCACAACTTTAGAAAGCAAATTACGTCAAACGTTAAAATTTGTGAGCATCAAAACCATGCAGTGACAATCTAAGCTCAACTTTGCCTTAGAGTGATCTTTTTGTTTTAGTATAATTGGATTGTTTATGAACTGAAAATAAGTGCAAAATTTGTCGTTTAAATCATATCAATACCCAAGTACTAGCATTGTTTGGCAAATGGTTCTCTCGGAGTTTGCAATTCACCGACATCGGACCGACCCTTGCAATGGTAATATATGAAAGTATGATACTGTTTCCGTAAAAAATAACACGAGTTCTTAGAATATTTTTGATTAAGTACCCTTTAGACCAAAATATTTTGAATCCACGCTATAATGTGATATATTAATCTAGGCAGTGTTCATGTGGCGGTTATTCTAGTTTCTCTTTACACCACTAGCATTTCATACAGACCGCTACTTCTTACAGCGAAAATATTTAAACACCTTTTGCAAAGTTTACTTTAAATGTTAAATCTAATTATATTTTAAATAAAACCGTAACAAACATCAACAAAACTTAGTCATCATTAAATTTAAATGCTACAAGAATAAATGAAATTCCTTTTGGCATGTTATTGTTAATACATTGTGATAAAATACAATTTGAACAAAATTAGCTTTTAAAACGGCAACGGGTCAAACGGTTAAAAAGTGCTTGGGCAAAAGTAGGAATCATTTTAGAAAATAAATAATACGGCCTTCTGTCAACTTTTCCCAAATAGTTGGACTCACTTCACTTCAATAAATTAGTGATTTGAATTAATAAGTATTTTCCGTAATATAAATATATAAGTACTTTCAGTAATATAAATACTTTCCGTAATATAAATATATAAGCACTTTCCCTCATATTTATGCTAGTTAATACTAATTTTTATGAGTAGGGTTGAATTTCATAGACAATCTACTTCAATGTCATATGCATATTGCTTTTACATTTCTTTAGTTTGCATAGTCAATCTTTACTGTTTTTATATATGTCTTTGTAATTTTGGTGTCCCTCGGTGGATTTTTCTTCTTTGTTTTTATGTTCTTCTTTTTATAAATATTTTAGTATTGGGCGTACCTTTATATTGATAATGGTGCTTCAAATGCTTCGAAATGTGTCTTATTTTTTAAATTCGGTTCCAAAAAAAAAAATGTATAGTATTTAGAGCAGTCTAGTTTTGTTAGTCTATGCACCTTCAAAATATACAAAATGCATTGTTATTCAATCAACAGCCGTGGCTTCCTTTGCTGGCTTGCTATAAAAGCGGGCACATTTTAACCCTGCCAAATTACGTTCCTTGTTCAAGATAATATAGTCATCCTAGATGCACTGTACAGGTTTAGATAAGCATGAAGGGGTCACGTAAAACAGGTTTGACCCCCACCACGTTGTGTGCCTGTACCAAGTCGGGCTAACGCAACCGTTTGTTGTTCGTTATTGGTTGGCTTTGTTTGAACGTTTATTTCTTCGGAAGAGTCGGGTGTTGGAAGGGGGGTGGGGTCTGTTGTACTGTCCAATATTTTTGGTAATTCCTGTTTCCCTTTTTATGTATTCGTATGCATAGTAATGCATAGACTTTGAAGATGTTGAGACTATCTGGTCATATTCATTTAAAACGTATTCTACTAAACTTTATCGACGTCTGTTCGGTCCTATATATACTAATTCTTTACGATACATGACTTAAATTCTTATAGATCCATTTTCACAAGATTATAGGCGATACTGTTGTTACGCAATCACAGGAACGAAACAATTGTTATAACAATGTGTATCTCGTGTAACATTAATTAAGAGTATTCGTTACGTAAAAATAGTATGATTGTTTCTATTATCTTAAGTTGTGCATGACTACATTCAAATCTATTGACCTTACGTTAAACATCTGTGCATTCTATTTCTCTCATTCCAGATACAGAGGGATCTGGTTTGAATCTTACCAACAAACCATAATCATTTAAGACTGTGAACATTTTTGCTCGGTTATTAAACTGTTCTTGTTTACTCGGACAAAAGTTATTGAATTCTCAATTTCATAGGCGTCTTCGATATCAAATGAATCAACCGCTATTTATCATAATTTTATAAGTCATAAATTCGTGTTTAATTTTAAATTTTGCATCAATATTTATACATAAGATTTATAGAAACAAATGAATGTAAAATCGAGGTGAAAGCTACATTTTAACTGAACAAAATATTAAGTTTGAACTAAAATCTTAAAATTTTCCATATTTATTGTCAAGAATATAGTTTTTATAAGATAAAGTGGTGGACAAGATGGATAACAATCTTCCTTGAAACCATACAACCTTCAACTATGAGGAAAATTCATAATGTATAGTCACTGAATTACAGGCTCCTGAACTTGGACAGGCACATAGTGGACGGGGCAGGGTTCAGGGATCCCGGAATTTTGAAAGGGGATGTAATTTCATAAAGCTGAACGTATACCATGTAAACTGCCGAAAATTTTGTGCTAAAAAATTATGTTTTTCCGACTAAAGGGGGCATACCCCTGTGTGACCTCCCTGAATCCACCACTGGGGTTAAACATGTTTGTGAACGCTCAACCCTCCCCTTACCTGGGACAGTTCATACAGAGATATATATTTTTGTTTTAAAATCTATTATTATGCCGTGTATATATATATATATATATATATATATGTCGGTTGACACTTTGCTCTTAACGAAGTCAAATGGTCAGCTAAATAGATATTGGTATTGACATACGGGTATTTATGGTACGATCTTACTGAAACTATATACATTTTACACGTGTGACAACAAAGCCTTAATGAGCTCATTATAAGATTGCTTGTAAAACATCACGGTAATACCATAAAGCTAATGGAATAAACAGATAAAAGTACAAATCACAGTATGAAACAACATGACACGAGATGTGGCAGATATGATGGAAGGTATTATGTAGGTGGAAAAAAACTAACCGCAAATGAAACATGCCTTTTTTATTCATCTTTTTTCGACGCGTGCAGCATTGTACTATTTATATTATTATTTATTGTTTATTTACTAGATTATTGGTGGGTTTGATTGTATTGCAAATTGTTTACTTTGAAAATTCTGCTTCTTCTGTGTCCCTTGTGTAAAGAATACCGAACTTCAAGGTTAATTCAAAAGGGAGGAAGTCCACAAAACATGACAAAATCAAACAGTCGGCTATATCAAGCAAAACAAGCTGACTTGGTACATGCTTTTCCCAAAGAAAATGTTGGGTTAAAACTTACATTTTCTAAGACGGCTATTATACATAATCAAATTTACTACATTTTACATAGTTTTTGTGGTAGTATGTTTTGTATGAAAACAAATCGTATATAACCATTTTAACGACTGATTCACAACCTGGGACAGGAGTAATTATTTACAATATGAATGTAAAATGCCATTTGCCACGTTATATATCTTCATCATGTACAATACCTTGAAGGGACAGATACAAAAACTGACCACATGGTGCAAATTAAATAAGTGTGTTTTTTAATGAATGCCTATACGATACATTTATTACAAAAGTCCATAGAAAAGATCTATGTCGAATCAAATTATCCTAATCCTTGTAGTCACGTCCACTTTAATGAATAGCAGCTTCTGGTTTCGAATTCTTTTGAATCTATGCATAGTTTGGTGTCACAGCAACTTAATTTACTGGCTATGACATCAATAGAACATGTTTTAAAAGATACATTTATAAATAAGAGATGTTTCAGTTCCTTCATTCAAACAGAAGCTGTACGTAATTCTTATACCTCTTAAATCTATTATAAGTCAAAACAAATGATTAAATCTCCATGAGGAGACAAAGTAATTACATATGTTATGTGTGTATAATTACTGATGGTGTAGAATTAATGTCCTCGTAAATGTAGTTAAAGGTGCGTTTTTACCGGCATGACCGGCGCACAGTTTGAAAAGATATCTTTTTGTTTCCCTTCAATCGCGGGAAAATGTAATCTGGTAAATTGATCGTCAATTTAATTAGATTAAAATGACTGAAATTGTTAACATTGTATGCGTTTTGTAAATATACATATTGTCATGGATGTCAAGTCCGTTCAACCGTTCTTGTCGGTATTTTAATCTTGAACTTCATCAATCCAAACAATAACCTCAGTTTAACACTTCTGATATCTTTAAAGTGTTTTAAAATAATGTTCCAATGTCTCGTAAATTATAACGACATCATGATGAAACTAGCTCTTACAAGTTTCAATCATGCTACGATTTTACAACTATAGGCCCCAGCTATTTTGGTTTCCCTCCCTTTTTCAATCTCAGTTCGCATTATATTGGTTTAATATTTGACACTTATGATTATCACTTAAAAGGCAAGTTTGTGATGAAATATCTTAATGGAAACTACCAAAAACTCACATTGTTTATATAAATATTTTTTTTTTATCTTTCGCTTGATTTCGTCTTCAGTTTTACTGCTAATGTGTATTGATGTATAGCATTAATGGAATATTATAGTCAGTTAAGTATATGACCAACAGACCTTTATGCCTACTAAGTAAACGATGACCATTTGATGACATGTCGTAGATATTGTTTTCCTATATCATACTTTGAAGAAATAAACAGGTATGCTAGATTTAATAGTAAATCTGACACTTAAAATCAATGGTTTATTTTTTCTCACTTCATTAAAATTTGATGCCTCCTTGTCTGCTTATAAAGATCAAACAATCAATTATTCCTTTTGGCATGACTGGGTTAAAACTTATAGAATAGATATAGATAGCATTGTAATATCTTTGCACATCTTGGCTCATTTCATACGAGTCTTTTCTGTCAGTTAGGTGCTTGGTTTTTATTGGTTTTCCAGTTTCTCGCCTCATCTTGTCATGGTTAAATGAAATATCGCAACTTTTTTTCCCTTTTTGCTCTTCTATATATTTATGCATTGCAATAAATTTATATTTTTTATACTGTGGTATTTTACCCAAAAACAGTTCAAATCGTGGCTTTAAACCTTCTCATTTACACAGAAACTATAAATTATGAATTGTTTTCTCATAAAAATATGATGTTATTGTGACAAATATATGAAAATGACTACATCATACAAAACTTGCAGTCTAAGTCTAAACATTAAAGGTGTTAACACATGGGAGGAATTAATAAATTATATTTTATAGCCAATAAACCGCGTCACCGATTCTTTTTGTCTTCCGTATTTAAAAACAATAAACCTATCAAGTGTTGAATGTTTTTGGTAAATAGAGAAGATATATAAACATTTACATATACTTACCCCTACTTAGTTTAAATAATCCAAATAAAAATGTCAAAATTGTCAAGATATGTTCCATCGTTTAAAAAAAAGCTTCCAGCAATTCAATTGATAGATGTATAATAAAGTCTATGTATTTTTCATTATTTTCACAACTAAATTATTGTAGCTTAGCTTAACCAGCTCTGATCTCTAATGCGGTACACTATTATATCAATGCGACATCGATCTACCTTCTCACCAGATGGCGCTTTCAATAGCCAGGTGCTCGCCCATTTCATATACTTGTTAAAGCTGTGAGATTAATCTAATTATGAAATAATATAAATTGTTCCTTTTTCAACAATATAAAATGCGTGATAAACAAGAAACAAATTAAGGCGTCAATCTATTCATTTTAAAACTTTTTCTTTTGAAGACATAGGAACTTAGTTTTCTCGTCGACTTTGATAAATTACTTTATTGTGCCTTTTTAATCAACAAATATTTGAAGATGCACATTTTAGGCCTGGGGCTTGACGCGAGTTGGCAAAGATTGCTTATCGATTTTAAGCTGAAAAAAGTGCTTAAATAATTAATATGACCGACATAACAAAAAATATGTGTTTCTTTAATGGCATTATAAATTAGATTTGTTTTAGTAAATCAGCGGAGCGGTCGACGTTTTGTTTGGTCCTCAATTACGGTGGAGCCACATGGGGACGTTTATTAATATGCTCGCAAAAAAACACGTTCGGGCTTCAAACAAATCACAACGATAAGTGACATTAAGATGAATCGCTAAACCATAAATTATTTATTTAATTCCACGTGATCACGTCAAAAGAGTAACTGATTAATGAAATTAAAGCACAACTTGATTGTATTATTATTATCAGGGTCAAGATACTGCAGCTGAATGGTAATCAATAATTGTGGAAGGTACAAAAAAACATTCGTTACACATCTTGTAATATATTACAGTGTACCATCAATGGTATCTTCTACAGATTATTTATGAAGGAACTGATTTATTCAGTACAGATTGTGTCGAGCGAGTGTCTCTACTTCAATCATAAAAAACGTATACATATTATATGTAAAGTAAAACATGGAAAATTCTATGAAAATGAAGCTATAGCCCAAAAATGAAGAACTTTTCGACCGGCAGCTCGTTGATAATTTATGTGCCATTCTTATATAGTAACGAAATTCACCAGTATCGTCGTTTTCGAAAGACAACACAGAAATTAAGTCTTTTCCGACAATTTTTTTTAGAATTTGCAACCTATTCCCTTTCGACCTCCTTTTTGTTGACAGATTACGCAAAGGTTTACACCAAAGGGCGAGTTTAAAAAGGAAGTCTCGTGTGTATATTTTTAAACTAATTTAGGTTTATCTAAATACATTGGTGTATTCAAATACCTTGAATATCCGCTTACTTTTACTAATCTTAGTTGTCTTTATTTTAGGGACATGGATTTTTTTCCTCGGCTGATTTCAAAAACACGGGGGAATCAGAGTAATTGAATGCCTGTTTAATACACATTTACAGTACACCTCGGACTGAAGCTTGTTGTAACTGAAACAAAGAGAGGTGGATTAACATTTGATTACGATATGATATTGTAGTTCATTTCTTAATTATAATCAAGTGAAGCTGACATTTTAGTGTGATTATCACACCATGTCAGATGAGGAATCAATTCCAATTTGTCAATTTCTTCCTAAACTGACATTGTCTACAGCAGTCCCGTATGACAGATCGCATAACACTACATATGCATTCCCAACAGGGAGAGCTAAAGTTTTCCTATATTCAGTCCAATGGAATTGTTAGGCATCATTGTGTAAGTGGATATTCCCGGAGTGTTACAATAAACGAGCCGTAACCCGGATGACATGACAATCCATAACTTACCACCAATTATAGCCTTAGTACATGTTGACATTTTCGTTATTTACATTCTGTGTATTTCGCACGTTTGTTGTAATTACTTAGTTATATAATAAGATAAATTGTCTGTCAATAAATATTAATGGTCAGTTAGTTAAAGTGACCATCTGTCCATATCGTCCGAAATTAAATACGTCATTTTCTAATTATGTGGCCAAACAAAAGAGACATTTGATACTAGAATCCATAATTCATGGACCATATTCCAACAAATTAATTATTCTGACGTTTTCCATAAAGGATCCAAAGAGAAAAACTATATAAGGGTTGCTGCAGGTCATGCCCATCCAGTGAAAACATTACCCGTCTGTTGTGTTTATTAGTGAAGTGCTTTACACAGAGTGTTCTGGAGTTTAAGATTCAAAGGTCAACATTATCCTAAAGGCATGTAATAACAGAATTTGGATGCATTTAAAACAACACTCATTTAAAACTCCATACATTTTTTGACCGCGTTAATAATAATTTCATTTTTAGAACGGAACAACAGTTAATCATGTATTAGTCCGAAATCATAGACTGCTCTTAATTTTTAAGGCATAAATAATCTTATTGTGTGAGTTTTTAATACATATTCATATCATCATAAGACATTTCTGGTCTTAAACTGATCGAACCCTGAACTAAGTGTAATAATATTCTTTTCTGGGGTTAAAGTTTGTTTTTAAATACACACTACTAGTATATATCTACTGATGCATTTGTACAACAGAAAGTCGATATATATTCTTCTGTTACAAGTGCATAACTGGGATGGACACAGTTCAGTCCACGTAAAAAATATGCTTTCTGTTTGTATCAAAACAATATACAAAAAATTCTATCTTTTGATCGGTGTGCATGGTGGTAACTCATTTGTCGAATGCTCTTATTTGATTTTAAAGTTAAACAAAAATAACATCAGTACTTAGAAATTCATATTTGAGCTTCAATTGTAATTACTGAACAATGATACACACTTATAAATATGATTTACTGAAGAGGAACATTTCATGTTTTTATGGATTGAAGTTTAAGGTAAACAAATACACGAGAGTTTTATTTAATGCCTTTAAAAGAAATTTCCTAAAGTAAACATAAGCATAGTCTGAATCACAAGTTTGTTATAATGTTGACATTTAAGAGAGGAGACACTTTGATTGAACACGTGAAGGCATTAATGATAGAACGTTTTCGATCACCAGAATCTCATTATATATTTATTTATTCAGATTTCTACAAAATAACTGTCACACAAGAGAGTCTGTCAAAATTAACTCGACATTTTGTTGACAAACACTCAAGAAAATGACTTCACAAGTGGCCAAAAAGTTAAAACCCTCAGACGACCGTTTAATCTGTACTGGCGACGTCTTGCGCGAAATTGTAAGGAGAAATCAGGAGGAACCTGCGAATACATCTGCATGCTTAATGGTCGAAAAATCATTTCCTACTATCGGGAAAACACTCTCAAGACTTCATATATACATGACTATAGTACATTCTATTTTTAACCTAAGTCTTCAGAAATTTGTTTTCACATTGAGATCTAATAATTTCTTAAAGTATAGCAACCAATTTAGAGGGGAAAACGTTATCATACGGTGGCTCTAATGTAATGTATGGATAACATTTTGTGATAGCCGGCGGCAAGTAGCTCAAACCATGACTTAATTTTCGAAATGGCAGGTGAACTGTTTGGTCATGAAATAGCATCAATTGTTCAGTGTTTCCTCAAACTCGACAATGATTTAATATTATAGCGGATATAAACTGTGATTTTGGTGGTGATCTGAAATTCAAAATGGCCGTTATCAAAGATTTTGAACGTCCGTGATTATGCATTTGATCATACTCATCTCCGAAATCACTGGAACTAATATATCCAAACTTGGTTTGATGTTCACTTGATGACTCATATTAGTGATGTTGAGCCTACGGAAATTCAATATTGCTATCATGGTTGAACATAGTTTTTCATTGAAACCTATAAGTGAACAGCATTTTTCTAAAAAAAATTGAACATTAAGTTCTGATTGTTTGTATTAAACGCTACTTTCATCACTAGTGGCTGGCTCATTGCGGCCTGTGTTTGCTGGTTGTGGAAGCCGTAGTACCTAGAGAGAACCACCGACCTTCCTGTCGGGTACTCCGGCTTCTTCCCCCAACCAAAACTGGCCGTTATGATATTGCCACTAGTTCTAAAAGCGGCGTTAAACACCAACAATCAATCATCAATCAAAACTTAATGTTCAACTGTTTTGCTGTTAAGAGTTTCCCCTTAGGTTTAAATAATAAAAAAAACTGTTTCATCATGGCAGTCATATTGAATTTCTAATTGGCACCAAATTCACGATTATGAACATGAGTCATTAAGTTAACAATGCTGCCAAGTTTGGGTTATATAGTTCCAGTGGTTTCAAAGGTTAGGATGATCAAATGCATAATCACTGACGTGGAAAGTCTGTGATAGCAGACTTTTTATTTGATATATGTAATAGTATCAGATTCCCACATAAATCACTGATTCTATTTATGACCACATTCCAAAAATATGTATTATTATATAAAATTCAAAATCGTTTTCATGCAAAAACATTTAGTAAACATTTTTTTCACGTGTAGGATTCTGTGTTCAACGATGACAGTCATGTTGACTTTCAAAAAGTCACCAAAATCGCAAATATGAAATTAAATCATACAATAAAAAATGTTTGCCATGTTTGGTTTCATTGTGCTCAGAAGATGATAAAATGTATACTACCACTGATGCGAGAAATCTGTAATGGCAGCCTACTCCTTTTAGGGTCAATTCGCAAATTCAGTCATTTGGCTTTCTTGAAGATCTTGTATGGCTGGTCCTTTTTGATTTTCTACCTATCTATCAAACATTTCGAGATAATCAAGGCAAAAACACGAAAATTGTCAAAAATCGTTATTTAGGGGAAGTAACTCCGTAAGGAGTCACACACTAGTTTCGGTCGTATTATCCTTTTTGTGATCACAATTGCTGATATGAATTTTGGTGTTTACAGTGTCTACTTACTAGTATCTAGTTTTGAGATAATAGGCAATAAAACGAAAATTAAAAAAAATCGCCATTTAACTCCTTTAGGAGTCATCCACTGGTTTTGATTGTATTTGCAATTTTGTAGATCTCTTATTACTGATTAATTTAGATGAAAGCATTTTCTATATATCATTTATAGTTTTCGAGATTATAGGCAAAAACACTAAAATAAGTAAAAAATCATCATTTCAGAGCAGTAGCTCCGTAAGGCAACATCCAATGGTTTCGGTCATATGTGTACTTTTGTTGATTATATAAAAACAGAGACATATA